CCGGATTGTTGTTGGGGGCGATATGCTGACTCTGTAAACCGCTTAGAGAGGGCTGAAAGCCCTATGAAGCGGTATATAAGTCTAACTGCTATTGAGGTTTGTTCAAACTGAATTTCTTTTCCTTTGAGGACAGCAAGAGTTTTCATAATTACACTGCTAACCATTAGAGTAGCTGGAGCTGTTTTAAGTTGCAACACAAAGCATCTTCAGTGTGTCAGGTCAAGGATAGCCATCTTTTGAAGTCTAATTTGTGCCGCTTTGAATAACTTTCTGTTCTTCTCATCCACTCATTACTTTTGTACATGATGTTCCATTTGTCCCTCCTCTATGGTCAGCATGTATCTGCATTCATAAATCAGACTTTTGAAGCTGCAATGATTCTAGGCAATATATTCAGCTTTTACTTTTTTTTCTTTCTTTTTTACTAAATGTCAAGCCTTTATCATTCTTGGATTTCTAGGAAGTGTCTTGAGAGACATTTCTTTTGGCAATTCAGGCTGGCAAAACAGTTCTAGTTGAAGCCAGGAGTGTCGTAGAGATTTCTACAAGAACTCAGCTTCTGAAGTTTTCAGAATTCCTACTTGTTCTGCAGTGGTCACTAACGCAATCTTAGGTAGGGTTAAGGAACAGCAGGAGTTTGGCACTGGTCCCTGGGAGTGTATGCAGTGCCAAGTTATCCAGTGGCAATTTTTAAAGGCTCAGCTGCCTGTAAAAACGAGGCCTTCCAGATGTAACTTTGAATTCCCCTTTGAGGCTGTGTTCTAATTATTTTTAATCTTCACAGGGACACAGAATTGAGGCAGCGGCGGCAGCTATATGAGGCCGGTCTCCATTCTTCAGCTCGCTATGGGAGCCATGACAACAGCAGCTTGGGAGTGGACGGGAAGAAAAAGCCTCGAAAGTGGCAGTTAGAGACATCCGAAAGAAGGTGTCAGATATGCCAGCATCTCTGTTACTTATCCATGGTAAGAGAAATTTCTCAAATCCTGCATTCCTGATTCTTTCCATCTATCCAGCCGTCTGTCTGTCTGTCTGTCTGTCTGTCTGTCTACCCATCCATCCATCTATTTTCTTTCTTTCTCTCTCTCTTCTTCCTTCCTTCTTTCCTTCCTTCCTTCCTTCCTTCCTTCCTTCCTCTCTTTTCTTTTCTTTTCTTTCTTTCTTTCTTTTTCTTTCTTTCTTTCCTTCTTTCTTTCTTTCTTTCTTTCTTTCTTTCTT